TCTAAATCGTTGGACCCTCTGGTCCGATCTATATAACACATAACATACATATATCACAATGCACATAAACTCAAACATACACATAACTCATAAGACCCACCGGTCTGCACATAGATACCTCTCTAGGTAATGTATAGTAAGAAGACTCACCTCGGGTAACTCGGATAATCTCGAACTCAAATACTGATCTAGCCTCCGCCCAATCATATAAAATAATTATCTCTAATTAATACGGCTCTAAAAGGCTAGACACTAGTCCCTCCCTATATTCTCTCAGAAGGGTAAAAGACCATTTTACCCCTCCAAGGGCTGAAAAGGTCCAAATGTTAACTAAACCCTAAAAGTCAACGAAAGTCAACTACGGAGAGGTACGCTGCGCGTACCAGATCTGTACGCGGGGCGTACTCCATGACATCCAGAATCGGGGAACGCGACCCGCTACGCGGCGCGTACTGGGATTACGCCCAACGTAAGTCCCAGTTTCCTACTTTCTTCATTTTTGGTCTGAATAGATTAAGACCTAGGCTCATAACTCAGATCTAAGCTCCCTACTGCCCCTTAAGTCATAAAGTCAGAACCTTTAAGATTGGATTTTTATGAACCTACAACACATATTACACTGGAATAGGGCAGATCTAAGCTTATGGAGACCCTTTGCTCATAAAGTCTCCACCTTGGGACCAAAAACCCTAAAAAATGGGTCCATAAAGCACAAATCAAAGATGACAAGGAAAGCTTTGAGCTTTTTACCTCTAGGTGAAGCTCCAACCTCTATAGAACTCGGATCTAAGTTTGCCCTCCAACTTCTAGCTTCCACCATGGCCTCCTCTTCTTCTTCACCATCACAAAATGGCACTTTCAAGCTTAAGAACACACACATAAGCTTATAACGGGGCTTTGCTCTCTTAGGGTTTCACTCTTTGTAATATGGTGGCTAGGGTAAGGACCATATCATTCCTTTTATAGTCCTCAAGTCTCATTTAGGGTTTTGTATTTGAGCCAGTTACGCCCAACGTAACTTTGGTACGCCCAGCGTACCTAATTGAGTCTGCGTCCATAATAAGCGCATGAGTACGCACAACGTACTCTTCAGTACGCCCAGCGTACTCGTTTGCAACACTTTTCACTTAGGGGCTAAACTTGACAGTTTGGTAAAGAAAAAGGGTTAAATAGATGTACTTAAATTTCGGGATGTTACACTCCCACTCCTTTTGAAGCCATAATTTTATTCCACCTTATCCAATGCATCCTTCTATCATCAAGATCGGCTCCCCAAAAGAATCTAGCCCTTAAAGATTCCAATTGACGAATAACAGTAACCGGAGCCGGGAGCATCGAAAAATAATAGCTACCCAAAGATTCCAACACGGATTTGATGAGAGTAAGTCGACCACCAAAAGAGAGACATTTAGCCTTCCGGATTGCAATCCTGTTACGAAATCTATCCATAATAGGAGACCAGGAATTCACCCGGTTCATGTTTTGCCCTATCGGAACCCCAAGATGGATAAAAGGAAGAGACTCAGAAACACAACCCATGAAGTTAGCTATATCCGCCACTTGGGAAGAAGGAATTCCCACACCAATCAATCTACTTTTAAGCAGGTCGATTTTAAGACACGAAGCAAGAAAGAAACATCTAAGGATACGGATAATATGAGAAGCAACATCCAGACTCCAAGGCGACAGAATAACAACATCATCAGCATAAAAAATGAGATATTTCTATATCACCAATAGAAACACCCGTAAAGACACCAGCCAATTGGGCTCTATGAAGCGCCACATGAAGACCTTCCATAGCCAAAATGAAAAGAAAAGGAGAAAGAGGATCTCACTGCTTTAATCCTCTTTGAATCTAAAATTCTTGAGTAGGAGACCCATTAACCAGAACCGAGGCTCTAGCAGTCTTCAACATCTCCATGATCCACCCGCACCACTTATATCTGAAACCCATAATACTCATAATTTCAATGAGATAATCCCAAGAAAGAGAATCAAAAGCTTTCTCAAAATCCACTTTCAAAATCAGAAGAGGATTTTTAGAAGCTTTACACCACAAGACATTTTCATTAAGGAGGAAATGACCATCTAAAATCTGTCTACTTTGTATAAAAGCAGACTACTCTGGGCTAACCACAGAACCAATAACCAGCACCAACCTATTAGCTAAAAGTTTACCAATAATTTTATATTGGCAACCAATTAAACTAATAGGTCTGTAATCACGAACAGACTTCGGGTCTCTAAATTTAGGGATGACCGTAAAGAAAGAAGCATTGCAACCTTTTGGGATAGACGAACTAGAATGAAAGTGTTTAACAAAAGCCACTAAATCAACCTCAAGGATGTCCCACTATCTTTTTATGAAGCCAAAAATAAAACCATCTGGACCCGGAGCTTTAGAAGAACCATAATCCCACACTGATCTTTTGATTTCGTTTCTAGTAAAAGGAGCCTGAATGGAATGCAGCTGAGACTCCGAGATGGAAGAGAAAAAGGCCGCATCAGTTCTGTTTCCTTTTTGGCGAGAAAACAAAGACTGATAATAATTCTTAAATTCATCCTTCACCCGCCCTGGATCATCCACCCAAATTCCATCACTATACACTCCACGGATAGTCACTGACGCCTCTTACAATTAATAACACCATGGAAGTAACTCGAATTCTCATCCCCTTCAATACCCCAATGAATTTTTGCCTTCTGAGCAAGATCAATATTGGCAATATGATCTAACTCATTCATCTCCTTCTGGATTGAGACTCGTTGTTCACACAAAGTTGCCGAATCTTCATTGTCCATTAACCGAGCATCAATGGATTCAAGAGTCACCTGTAAATATTTTAATTTGGACCCCAACCGAGTACGGTAAGAAGCATTCCACAATTTAATGTTATATTTAAGATTTTGCAATTTTTTCTTAAATATAACCCATGGATTATTAACATCCACAACCTGAGCCCAGGAGGTCCTCACCAAGCTATCGAAACCATCCATATCAAACGAAGAATGAAACACCCTAAATTGGGAAGGGCCATAATCGACAATATGCTCCGAAAGAAGAATAGGACAATGATTCGGAATTTTTTTTCCAAGACCATACTAGAAAGATGAGGAAAGTGCCCAAGAATACCATCTGTAACCAAGAATCTATCTAGTTTACTAAATTTATATCCCCACTTATTGCTCCAAGTGTACCTAGGACCTCCTAAAGGAATATCAAGCAAGGCAGCATGCTCAATAAAATTGTTGAACAAATTAGCAGTCATTGCATTAAATTGGGAACCCAATCTTTCTGATTCATCTCTGACAACATTAAAATCTCCCATAATAATACATTCACCAGAGAAGTTTAAGATCAGCTGAAGTAAATGGAACCAAAGATCTCGTTTACTATCTGCATCTTAAGGAGCATAAACCGATTCTTGGATGGATAAAAAATTGACCTTATGCTTTTGGCAAAGAGATCTGATCCAAACCCGCTTGTCTCTACTACCCGCTCCTTGAATATTAATAGAGATGCAATTCATATCTCTACTCGATTTTTCTCGTGACCTTGAATAATTTCTTTTATCCGATCAAAGCACTCTTCCATGTTGTAACCCAAAGATGTACCCATCTCCAAAGTTTTTTTTGATTTCATTTAGGAATCCATTATTTGTACTCAGCCCATCCGAAGAATCACCAGGTTGCTCATAATTGGAAAAGTCTGGGGGATGAGAAAGAGATTCATCTGAGGATTCCACGCCCGACATTCTACCGTATCCACCAGAAAAACCAACATGAAGACATCTCGGACCCTTAAGCTTCTGATTAACAACCATGTGAGAAGAGGCTGAGTTAGTCGGAATAGAACAAGTAGTCGGAACATCGCCGCAGGAGCCAGCAGCATCGACGGAAACAACAGGGGCTGTTTTTGAACATTTCGCAAAAGCAGGGGTGTTTTCTGAATTTTTTTCATCTGCAGGGGTGGACACTGTAACATTTTCCTTTTGAGTCTTCTTTGCTGTGGCAGAATTTTGCATGGGGCCTTTACCAAGTTTGGCATTTTCCACTTCACAGAACCAAACATTCAACTTTTAAAAGTACCACCTTTGTGAGATTGATTCAATTTGATAAAATCATCATCTTTATCCATTTTATCCATCATTTCGTAGATACCAAACGGATCCTCGGGAACTTCATTATTATCATGATTTGAGTGAAGTTCTTCCTCTTATTATGAATAGACCTGGCAAAAGCTGGCACGACACGATAACTCGACACAAACCCGACACGAAGTTAGCGGGTTAGGGTCAGAGATTTCGACCCGTTTATGTACACGGGTTGACACGACACGACACGAAAAATAAACGGGTAGGGTTAGGGTCAAGATTTTCAACACGAAGATGACTCGATGATGACCCGTTTAATTATATATAATATTTTAAAATTTTTATATTTTATAAATATATTATAATATAGTTAAAATTATAATAAAAACAATATTGGGCTTGTTAATATTTGGGCTGCTAAAAAATAAAAACCAATTGACGGGTCCATTAGGGTTTAGGATTCACAAGATGTTCCAAAAACCTAATCTAATTTTGTATTCACATTTCACAAGTCTTGTGTAATCGTATCCTATCCGCTCCGCCTCCTTCAATCCCTCCTTCTTTTTGGGTCATTCAAATCTGTTCCGACTTCCGAGTTCAGACCTTCGACTTCATCACTTCAATAATCAGCATTCGCCATTCAGATTTCAGCAACACGATTAGTCGATTAAACGACTTCTTCTGTTTCGTTCATTGTTCACGAATCACGACTTCACCGGTTCACCCCTCCCCGACGTCTCCTTCACCAGGCGCATCTCAGCCTCTCCACTCTCCAGTTGTCCTTCACAACTTCGTCACCTCTCTCAGGTAGGTTCATATGTTCTTTGTCTTTACAACCAAGTACCAAACTATACACGATGATCACCCATTTTCTGTTCTTTGTCTTTATTACAGCTAACTACAATGGATGAAGCTATTAACTTGTCTGATGATGAAGGTGAAGAGGAGGTTGGAAGCGTTCCAAATAAAGCAGAAGTTCCATCAGGTTCTAAAGCTTCTAAAGCTGCTAAAGCTACTAAGATGAAAGCAAAGAAACTGAAACCAAACTTATCTGGTAACCCTGTGAAACGCCAACGTAAGCTTACTTCCCCTGTTTGGAAACATTTTGAAATGATTGATGAATTAGATGAAAATGGAAATATTCAGTGTAAATGCAAGAAATGTGGGACTAAATACATTGCTAAAAGTAGTCATGGGACAGGGAATATGCTTAGACATGCTAGGTCCTGTAACACAAATAATTATGCTGATGTTGGTCAACTTTTGATAAAAACCATCACGAATGGTTCATTTGGAACTCGATCTGCCATGTAAATGCGTTTTTACGTGCCGTTCAACATGTTGGTCTTGAGTCCTCTAGAGGGTTAAGACAAGATGTCTCTACTCGTTGGAATTCTACATTTCTCATGCTAGATAATGCATTGTTTTACAAAAAAGCACTTCTTCAAATGGCAAAGACCGATGCTAATTTTGTTCATTGTCCTAGTTCTCAAGAGTGGTCCAAGATTGAAAAAATTTGTAAGTTTTTGCAAGTTTTTCATGAAGTGACTTTAGCCTTCTCGGTTTCCAAGTATCCAACAACCAATCTTTATTTTCCTAATGTTCTCAAGATAAGATTGCTTTTGAAAGAGGAGGCGGTAAGTAACGATGACTTTATAAAGACCATGGCAACTAGGATGAAGATGCAAAGGAAAGTGACACATCTGGTGCTCAAACACAACAATCTGGATTATGTTGAGGAAGAAGGATGAAGAAGAAATAGCTTGAAAAAGACTTGATTTGTTTTGAACTTTTAGTCTTTGTTGGTATTAAACTTGTTTTTTTTGTTGGATTGTAATATGTTTAATGTTTTGGTAGTTTGGATGTTTACTTGAAGTCTTGAACTTCCACTTTCTTTTGTTTTTGGTATTTCATGACATTTGGATGATTACTTGAACTTTCAATTTCTTTTGTTTTTAGTTATTTTGTTTTTGATATTTGATGACAAAGTGACAATGTTAACTTTGGTTTACCATTTTATGTCAAATTCACGGGTCGTGCCGGGTTACACGGGTTGGCGGGTTTCACAATTTTTATAGGTTAAACGGGTTACACGGGTCGTGTCGGGTTGACACGGTTATAACCGAGTCGTGTCCGTGTCAGCTTTTCCAACCCGTTTATTAAACGTGTCGTGTCCGTGTTAACTACCCTCAACCCGTTTAATGTCCCAACCCGGCACGACACGACCCGTTTGCCAGGTCTAATTATGAAGATGTTATTTTCTTTAAATAAAGACATCTTTGTCTCATTATTATTATTATTATTATTATTATTATTATTATTATTATTATTTGAAAATGGCAAGCTATACACTACACCTAATCTAATCCTAAACACCATCTATGTCTCATAGTGAGACTTGAACTCATGACCTCTCATTTGAGAAAGTCTCTCTGAGACTTGAACCCATGACCTCTCATTTGAACCCATGACCTCTCATTTGAAAAAGTCTATAGTCTCATTATTTGATATTATTATCATTGTTAGGCAACATAAGAGCGTAGAAAATATGTCTCTACATACTTTATCCTACATAGATGAAAAAGGTGAAATGAAAAAACTAAGGTATCTATAAATATAAATGCCAAGGTTAATCTCCTTTAAATGTGTATATATTCTCATTTTTTATTATTTTAACCGGTAATTTTTATCGTTATTAAAAAAATTACTACTGCAAACAAAATCTCATGGCTGTTAGTATTAACGTTTGAGACTTACTATTATTTTAATTTGTGGTTTTAATATTGAGACTTAAAACTATAGTTTGAAACTTTAAAAAGACTTCATATTAGGTTTACCTCGAGTTGGGGGAAAATCAAAAATCTATGAGGTTAACACTTCCTTTAAATATGACATCCCGTTCTTATAATTTGCAATTAAATTTGTGGTACATTAAAAACAAAGTACAAGATAACAAATATATAAAATACAAAGACTATTCTCTTTGGTCTAACACATTTTTATAAGAAGTAAATGAAAGGAAAATTAGACATTTATAAATATAAATATAAAAGTATATATATATATATATATATATATATATATATATATATATATATATATTCCTTTTTGTGTTTTTTTAACATTGTGAGAGCATAATATTGTTTTAACCTATAATTTATAATCTTATTAAAATAGGAAATAATTTATGATGGTAATGAACCTTTCATTTTGTTTATATTTAGGCAATATTTGTTCTGTACATAATTTATCATCAAATTTGTTAAATATGTTCAAATATTACTATTGTTAGGTGACAATGATAAAAATATTCTCTTCTAAGACATATGTGGTATTAAGAGTAGTTTAATAGATCTATAATAGATTTGTTGTTCAAAAAAAATTGGTGAAAAATAAATTATATGGTTTTAATAACAAAAGAAAGATAAAGAAAACGTGTGTGTATATATATATATATATATATATATATATATATCTATATATATATATATATATATATATATATATATATATATCTATATATATATATATATATATATATATATATATACTTGTAGCTAGTTATAGAAAGATAAACTAAAACAAAATTCTAAATAATATGGTACCTTAACCAGAAAAATGTTTTTTTGTTTTTTTTTGTGAGTATTATATCAAAGTCATTGAGCACGAGATCCGATAATATATGTTTAAGATGCTGACCACATCAGGCACAAAATCCAAGAATATAATTGTAAGATGCTAACTACATCGGACACAGGATCCAAGAATATAATTTTAAGATGGTAACCACACCATGTAGAAAAACTCCAATAGTCTATGACTTCTTCTTCGTTTCTACTTCTCAAGTCCATGGGTTGCGATTGGCTACAAATGTCAAGCGTGACTATGGAAATCGAGCTCAAATGGGGACTCCTTAGACCAATCTCAACCCTGGAAGAAGATTTGTTGGATGCCTTGTTTTTTTGGTATTACATTTGAGTCCTGAAAAGTTAAGATGTTATTGTTGGTTTTAAATACGGAAAATCTCCAGAAAAATCCAAATATTTTGGAAATTTTTTTAATAAATTCATAAATTTTATTTTTTGAACAGAAAAGTCCTGACTTTTCAACTTTTTGAATATAAAAAACCAAGAAATCGGCTAATTTATTCACTTTAGCCCTTTTTGACTTGTTCAGCAGATCATGAGACAAAATTGTTAATTTTTTGAAAATAATGAGACTTTTCTACAGGTTTCGTCAATATTTGTATATAATGTATAAACGTATTTTTTACGTATTTATATATATTTTTACATATGTATGTACCTTTTAAGTTTTTATATGTGTTTGTTTACGTATTTTTATGTATTTTAAATATATAAACATATTTTTTTACTTATTTTTATGTATTTTTAACCATTTTACATATTTTTTTTATATATTTTTATGTGTTATTTTTTATGTATCACGAATTTATATGTATTTTTACATATTTATGTATTTTTTAAGTTTTATATATATATGTTTATGTATTTTAAATGTATAAATGTATTTTTTACGTATTTATATGTATTTTTAAGTATTTTACATATGTTTTAATGTATTTTTATGTATTACGTATTTATACGAATTTATGTATTTTTTAAAGTTTTTTATATAGATGTTTATCTATTTTTATGTATTTTAAATGTATAAACGTAGTGTTTTACGTGTGTGTGTATATATATATATATATATATATATATATATATATATATATATATATATATATATATAAAGTATTTTACATTTTTTGTGTAATTTTATGTATTACGTATTTATATGTATTTTTACTTATTTATGTATTTTTTTAATTTTTTATATAGATGTTTATGTATTTTAAATGTATAACAATATTATTTTTACGTATTTATGTGTTTTTTTTTACTTCAAGTCGTCTTCATCATTTCATCTAATTCACACGGCTTCTTCGAGTATGTCTAGATGGTTTTTTCCTACATACCAACATATTTTAAGCGAATGAGAAAAGATTAACATATGTGTGTTTGTAGGAAAACTATCTAGACATACTCGAAGAAATTGTACGAATTGGATAAAATGGTGAAAACGACTTGAAGTAAGAAATGCATAAATACACAAAAAAAAAATACAGTTATACATTTAAAATACACAAAAATACATTAGCATCTATATAAAAACTTTAAAAAATACATATAAATACGTAATACATAAAAAACACATAAAATACACAAAAGTATGTAAAATACTTAAAAATACATATAAATACGTATTTTATATATTTAAAATACATAAACATCTATATATAAAATTAAAATATATATAAATACGTAATACATAAAAACATAACACATAAAAATAAATAAAATATATGTAAAATACTTAAAAAATACTTATAAATACGTGAAAAATACATTTAAAAAAATTAAAATACAAAAAATGTAAACATATACATATAAAAACTTTTAAAAAATACATAAATGCATAAAAATAGATATAAATATGTAATACATAAAAAATAACATATTTAAATACATAAACAAATATGTAAAGTACTCAACAATACATATAAATAAGTCAAAATATACGTTTATACATTTAAAATACATAAAAATGCATAAACATATACATATAAAAACTTTTAAAAAATACAGAACTACGTAAAAATAGTTATAAATACGTTAAAAATCCGTTTAAACGTTATATATAAGTTTTGATGAAATCTGCAAAAAAGTCTCATTATTTTGGAAAAATTAATGATTTGGTCTCATGACCTGCTGAACAGGTCAAAAAGGGGCTAAAGTGAATAAATTAGTCGGTTTCTTAGGCTTTTCTATTCAAAAAGTTAAAAAGTCTGAACTTTTATGTTCAAAAAATAAAATTTAAGACTTTATTAAAAAAATTTCTAAAATATTGGGACTTCTCTGAAGATTTCTCTTTTGAATACCTATTATAAACAACCTAAAAAGAAAGAAAATTGACATAGGAGGGTAATGAACTTTTCATTGTTTAGACATTTTTTTTTTGTATACAATTGACCATCAAACTTGTTAAATATGTTCAAATGTTATCATTGTCACTTAAGATAGCCAATGACAATGGTAACATTTGAACACATTTATCAAGTTTGATGGTCAATTGTATACAAAATAAAAATGCCTAAAAATGAAAATTTTATTACCCTCATAGGTCATTTCCCGTTAAAATATTTACTTTCTTAGAAAAAATATAATGTTTGCCGGTATAGATCCATTTGAAACGGGTAAATGTTATTGTGTCATGTGATTCAAGGTGCATAATATTAACTTTCCTCTTTCCATTATACATCAACCCTGGATTCAAATTTTCTCAAGCTTCATGATAACAAGACATTCCAAACTGATTAATATTTCTTTAAGCCAATAAACTATTAAAATTTTCATATTGCAATGACTTCCATATGTTGGAAGAACATACATCTATCAATACATTAACCATATACTTTTTTTATTCATGTGCAAATTACGGTAATGAGCAACATATCTTATACATATTTACTCAGAAAACCTAAAATGTGAGTATAAAAATACATAAGATCGTTAACCACGACACTTTTCAAAGCCATTTAAAATTTCGTAAATTGGTTCGTGAAGCTCAAAAAAACATAATTTTCTAAACTCTGCCTCGTTTCCACACACTAAAAGAAATTATAATATTGTTAGAAATTACATAAAAACATTAATACACGACACCAGTGTGAAGTGATTTTAGTGAATAGCTCGCAATTTTATCATTGTCACTACACAAAATCCAATTAGCAAACATCGAGATGATATTTTAAGACATACAAAACTAATGCAATAATGTCTGAAACCCTTATTTGAATGCATCTGATTCTCCTACATAAACAGTATCTCGATATATCTGCAATGTTTGATGAAAGTAAATAACTACATTATACATTATATTCACATTTCACTATGAACTTCTTGTCAAAATTACCAACTTGCCCTCTTGCACAAAGTTGAAAACTTTTCGATTCATATTTATGAAATAACTCATTTTTATAATAGAATTTATGTAGAATCTCCAGAAATAACAGAAGCCAAGATCTGGTGTTTTTTTAGTTCTTGAGCTTTTCTACGATTAGACTCCATGATGATAAGAAGTGCTGTGATGTCAGCAGGGCTGACCCCACCTACTCTACTTGCTTGACCAATCGTTTGTGGCCTCACCTTAAATAAAACAAAACCAAATCTCAAAACATATAAATTTTTTTTTTATTTATAAATATGAGAAACTGATTAATTAATAATAACCTTTGAGAGTTTTTCACGTGCTTCATGTGATAAAGTGTTCATGGAATTATAATCCAAATCTGCTGGAAGGGGTTTATGTTGTCTGTGAACCATCTGAAACCAAATTGAAAAAAGTCAACTAAGGGGACTTAAGTTGCCAAACCACAAAATTCAGGGACAAAATTGAAACTTAGGAGGAGGACTTATTATTGACTTAACCTGTTGCAATTGGCTATGTTGGCGTGAAATCAAGCCTTCATATTTAATATCAATCTCAATGCATTCTTTTTCTATTCTTGATAATTCATTATTTCCAAAACCATGTTTTTCCAACACTTTGTATTCAATATGTGGCTTTTTGAGAAGCCCTTCAAGTGTTGAATGATCTTTGACCGGTTGACCAGATAAACACGAGACTTCAGCAGCTAATTCTTCGCCTGTAACATAACTTTTTTTTTTTTTAAATGTTCTTTATAAAAAAATATATATAGTTTTTAGTCTTACTTGTGACACGAACAGTTTTTAATCTTTTTTTCTCCTCTAAAATCCGAGCTTGTTTTCCTTGATAAGATTTCCATCTTTTATCATCTATTAAACCAATTTCATGCCCTAAAGGAGTCAAACGGCTATCAGCATTATCAGATCTGAGAATCAATCTGTATTCTGATCGACTGAAAAAGAAAATAAAAAATTATAATAACAAAACTGAATTAAACATTTAATTAAAAAATGAATTATTACCTTGTGAGCATACGATAAGGCTCACGAAGATCTTTGGTGACAAGATCATCGATTAAAGTGCCTATGTAACTGCTTTCTCTTTCAAGAACAATCAGTGGTTTTCCATCTGAATGTCTAGCTGCATTTATTCCGGATATTATTCCCTATGAAAATTGGAATTGAAAGAATTAAACCAATGTCAAGAATAGTCCATTGGAATGGAATGGTTCATTCCATTCCTTCATTATACCAAAAAAAGAAAAAGGAAAAGGAAGAAGAGAAACCTGAGCAGCAGCTTCTTCATAACCAGTTGTTCCATTAATTTGACCTGAGAAAAAAAGTCCTTGGATTTTCTTTGTCATAAGTGACCTGGCACATTGATGAGCTGGCAAGTAATCATATTCTACAGCATATGCAGGTCTCAACATGGAACATTTCTCTAAACCTGGTAATGTTCTCAAAAGTGGTAACTGTAATCTTTCAGGTAATCCAGTTGAAAAACCCTACAAGATTTAAAAAAAAAAAAAAAAAAAAAAGTAAAAAACAAATGTGAATAAATAAATAAATCCCATTTCAGAAATTGATTATTCAAGAGACCTGAACATAGAGATCAGGTACACTTCGACCTTCTGGTTCAAGAAAAATTTGATGGGAATCCTTATCTTGGAATCTTACAATCTGAGAATAAAAACAGATAATGTAAACAAGGCTTTAAATAAGATTTTTTTTTTTTAAAGAATATTATAACCTTATCCTCAATTGAGGGACAATATCGAGGTCCTTTTGCTTCAACCCATCCTCCATAAGTTGGAGTCTCATGTAAATTATCTCTTATAAGCTGATGTGTCACTTCTGTTGTACGTGTAAGATAACAACACATTTGTTCCCTTTCAATGTGGTAATCAGTATCAAAACTAAACCAATTCACCTGTTCATCACACAATCATATATTAGTATTATTAACAACTGAATGATCAAAAAGAAAAAACATTTTTATTATCAGTTTTGTATAATTCATGTTTTCATCAAATTTATATAAAGTAATACGCACAGTGACAAAAATGCAAGAACCTCTTCATCACCATGTTGAGGCTCCAACACAGAAAAGTCAACTGTACGTGAGTCAACTCTTGCAGGTGTCCCGGTTTTTAATCGATCAGTTTCAAATCCAAGTGATTGTAAGTGTTCAGTGAGACCATGTGAAGCTGATTCACCAGCTCTTCCTGCAGCCATTGAAGTTCTTCCAACCCAAACTTTTCCACTCATGAAAGTGCCAGTTGTAAGAACAACAGATTTTGAATAGAAATTCATCCCAAAAAATGTTTTAACACCTTTTACATCATCATTTGTTCCCATTAAAAGATCTGTCACCATTGCCTCCCTAATGGATAAGTTTGGAGTGCTGAAAACACAAAACAAAAGGGTAGGATAAAAATTAATCTTTTTTTTCATTAAAGTTTGGATAAAAAAGTTTAGAGTAGATTGTATTTTTGGTTTCCAAAGTTTTCTCTTGCAATTTTGATCATTGTTTGAAGCTTTTGTAACATTTTTGGTCCCTTTTCCAAGTAAAATGACTACAAAACCCTCAAATAAGGACCAAAATTGCAAAAAAACAACTATAATCAGGGACCAAATATGTAATTTACACAAAAGTTTAAGTAAACTAGCCTTTCTACAATCTTTTTCATCTCGATTGCATATTCTCTTTTATCTGTTTGAGCACGCAATGCTCTAACAGCAGGGCCTCTTGAGATGTTAAGAACACGTTTTTGTAGATAACACCTGAAATATCAATAAAGATACAAGTAAAAAATATGTGTGATGTCTATTTAGTGGAGGGGTAAAACCGTAAAATTACCTATCAGCCATCTTTCCAATTTCACCACCTAATGCGTCCACTTCATGCACTAGCTGAGACTTTGCAGGTCCACCAACTGCTGGGTTGCAGGGCTGTATCAAACTTGTAATGGTGAGATTTGAGAAATGAAATGATTATTTGAAAATTGCATAGTTATTATTTTTAATAAGATATTGAAGAATATTGGTTATAAAAAAGTAACCTGCCATGCGATTCTATCAATATTGATTGTTAGAAGAAGAGTTTTTGCCCCTAAACGAGCAGAAGCAAGAGCAGCTTCACAGCCTGCATGTCCACCTCCTACTACTATTACATCATATGTTTCATCGCCTGTTGTATCATGATTCTTCCAATCTACAGGGGCTTTTTAAAGAAGAAAGTAGATTGTAAGATATATATAACTTCTCTTGCATACATATATATTGGAAAAAGATAAAAGGGGAAGAAAGCATCTTGATTTCCATAGAAACTTAAGATTGCCAAAATACATGGAATGATTCTTACCTGCCATTGATTCAAGCTAACAGTATTTAAGTTACTTGAAGTTCCTTCCTCACCACCAGCAATGGTGGTTCATTTATACTACACATATCATTCAAATTTCCTACTTACCAAATTTTCTGACTTTGTTATCTTCATTAGTTTTTCTATGGGCATCAAAAGACCGATTATAATGCAAAGCACTCTCTTTGTTAAGCGTGAAACAGAGAGAATGATATTGTTTCGAATTTTGGATCTCAAGCAGATCAATTTACAACTTGAGAAATTAACAAGAATTTGATAACTACAATAAACACTACAAAAAAGACAGATGAACGTGCAACCGATTCTATATCATTTTTGCATTTGAAAAAGCATCAATTTTGACTAAAAGGTCGCACATGTGGAGTATACTCATACCAGATAGCAAAAAAAGAAACTATTCAAAATGAAGGACAAGTGTTTGATGAAATGCCAAGACGAAAAATTAACAATAACTACGAACACTAATGTATACCTGGAGAGCTCGATGCAGTGACTGAAAAATGTCGCGGCGAATCTGCGCGGAAGAAGCTGAAGCATAACCGAGGTTTGCAGCTGCGTCTAAGGCTAATAGAGGACGAGCGAGGAGGGCGGAGGAAAGGAAAGAAAGAGAAGCGGCGAGAAATTCGAGAAAACTGAAGAAGCGAGACAGCCGCTGTGGCCATGTTAGGAGGCCCGGGCAAAGACGACGGTGACCGTGGTGGTGGCCGTTGGTTAGGGAGGGAGTGGGGAGAGAGGATAAAACAGTTCTGAACTTGGAAAACAGGTAAGAGCAGGCCTACTTGTTGTTTAGCCGCGTAAGCTTTCAACGCATTCCAATTTTTTCAGAGAAATTACGTGATTAGAGGGTGTTTAGGATTTTATTAACAACAATTTTTTTTTTAGAAATTCAGTAATCTAACTCTTATAAACGCTCGCTGGCAAAAACTGACACAACCCACTAACCCAATCCGAACCCAACCCAAAATTAGCAGGGTTGAGATTTTCAACTCATTTATGTTAAATGGGTCAACCCGTCTAACCCATTTAATTAAATAGGTTGCGTCGGGTAAAAACTATCAACCCCTTTTCAACCCATCAACCCATTTAACTTTAATTTATATTAAATTTAATAATTATTAAAATATTATCATGTATTAATCTATGTATTAGTTTATAAATTACAATGTTTGTATTATTATTTATGTTTTAAAAAAATAGAATCCTAATTTCTACCTTTTTGATTGGCGCCGACACCACTAACCACTCTAAAAAATCTCTTAGAAATTACATATCTTTAATGCTATTTGAATAATTTATTTGTATATGTGAATTGTGATTGTGCTTTTGTCATACATTGAAATTTTATTTAAGTCTATAACTAATTTAAGTGGTGTAATCTTTAGTTAATTTATTTATTTATTTTATTTTAAATGGGTCAACCCAAATTTAACCAATTTATTTAATCGGTTGGTTTGGGAATTACATAAACGGGTCAACCCGGTGACAACCCATTTATCTGAAAGATTGGGTTGGGTTGGAAATATCAACTCATTTAAATAAACAGGTTGGGTTGGGTTGAAATTTTCAACCCAATTAATAAATGGGTTGAACCCGAACCCAACCCAGGTCGACCCATTGCCACCTCTACTCGTTGTAACAAAAATAATTAGTATTTTTTTTTATAAAATGACCACTTGCTTCAGAACATAGCATTTTCGGAGTTGTGGTCTATGTTTCGGAGTTCCTACTCCGGATTATAACCTCAGTCTTTTTTCTTTTCGTCTTTTATATATATATATATATATATATATCTATATATATATATTATATATATATATATATATATATATATATATATATATATATATATATGGAAAAGTGAATATACCCTTAAGGGTATACAAGCTTAGGTACCCAAACTCACAATACTACGTCGTTTTGTATCATATATATACATTGTAATTGTCCAATTGTTTTTATAATTCAACTTCTAACTTGATTACTTCTAACATTTTTATAAATTTCACATTTATCTTCCTCCTACACACTTTTCATTTTCAACTATAATATATATAGCCTAGTAGGTGTTTGGCAAAAAGATATGATATAAGAGGAAGATAATAGTGAAATTTCGAAAATCTTCAAAGTAAATCAAGTTAGATGTTGAAGTTTAAGAACATTATAATGAATATATTTAACAAAACTACTAATTATGGTGGGGTTTGAGTACATAAGCTTATATACCCTTAAGGGTATATTCACTTTTCCATATATATATATATATATATATATATATATATATATATTATATATCTATATATATATATATATATATATATATATATATAACGCCCGCAGATCCGGGCTAGTCAATTTAGAGACGATGAGCATCAAAAATGAATTTTTGATGGAAGATTATTTAGAAGGATTAATCTTAACTAAGTTGTAGTATATGTTACAAGGGTTCCGTACATATAAAGAACACCGAAATCCGAGTTATAACGAAGAAGTTATGGCTCGTCGAAGTTTTACGGCAAAACCGGCACGGCACCGGGAGACGTAAATAGTGAATTTATGGTAGAAGACTTTTTAGCCTTAGTGATCTAAACAAAATTTGTAGTATACGTTAAACCGAGAACATATAAAAAAAGAACGCCCAAATCTGACTTCGTATGAGGAAGTTATGAATTTTCTAAGATTTGGCATAGCAGTGCACGGCCCGAAACTCGAATTTTAGTTCGAGCGGTTTTTGGCATACGCGACCTAAATGAGAGTTGAAGATCTCATTAATAGGAACTCAACGGTAAAAAGACAGACGAAAACGGAGTTTGTATGTAGAAGTTATGAATTTTACGCAGACATTTAACAGTATAATCTCATCATACTGTTAAATTTAAGATCGGTCGAGAATTAGCCGACGGAGTCTAAATGAAAGTTTTAGATCTTGTTTTTACCTACGCGTGGATATAAAGAAATTCGAGAATAGAGCTCGTATGTTAAAGATATGGACGAAACTTGGTCCCTACTCTTCGAGCGCGAGAAATTCGATACAGTTTTGTAAATCTGAGATAGAATGAGAATTAGCTGACGGCGTCTAAATGAAAGTTGTAGTACTCGTAAATACCAACGCGTGGATATAAAGAACGTCAAAAATGGAGTTTGTATGAACGAGTTACAAATTATAATAGCATATTTACGTATTAAAATAAAGTATAAATCATATATACGTACACATATATATACAAATGTATATATCATTAGAAAGGTATCGACGATGCGGTTATTATAAGACTAGTGTTGAGTACTTTTGACATTAGTTTAGTACAAATATCGTTAAATCTATTTAAAATAGTATTATGAAGGGGTGTTTAGTCGTTTATATAACTATAAGGTCATTAAGTAATTATGGAGGGTAGTTTTTGTAAATTCAATTACTATAAATAAGAGGCTTGGGCTCTCATATTTCTTGCACCATTCTCTTGATTCAAGAGTCTTTCTCTTCTTATACCCCGAGCATTTCGGTCCCTCGTGATTCGACTTCTCTTTCTGTAGTTTTAGTATAGTAAGGTGAGCGCTGAAGCGCTGCATGAATCTTTCTTAGAAAGATTCAGCGACGAAGTTCTGCCCCTGCAGAGCCCGACTCCTAGCTAAACCCCCCTTATAAGTAAGTTATGCTTACCCTATTTTAATATAGCTTATATTTAAAATTAGTATTGTTATTATGAACTTATAATAAATATTTGAGCTATTATTATGACTTATATAAGTGTCGTTATAATATCTTTTTAACTACTCGCGGTACGGGGAATCTGGTTTAAAGGGCCGCATATGGTTGTTGGATTTCAGAAGTGCTATATGCCAAAATGGTCCTGCCCTCCGGTGTTTTATGTCTGGCCCCTGTCTGTACATAGTGGTTGGAAAGTATTATTTAAACGCTTATATAATAATAATAATAAAAAAATATATAATAATAATAATAATAATAATAATAATAATAATAATAAGACTAATAATTAGTCACGGTAAATATTAGACTAAAATCTAGTGGTAATAATACTAGGTTTCGTCGAAGGAAATTATTTTAAAGTAAACGAAGCGCTGTCCGAGTACCGAGTTACCACCTTATCAGATGAGTGCATAGTTACTTTCATCTTACACATAGATATGAAGTATTTTATATAAATTACGTGCTATGTGTGTATACTGTCTGAATACTTGTTGTCTATGTTGGATGAAACGTTTTATACATGTTTTAAATGATCTAAACTGTATATGTATTTTATATCTACAAAATGTGTTGGGTAAAACATGGGTAGATTAGAGGTGAGATAAATGATGAGCGATGAAAGATGAGATAAATGATGAGCGATGAAAGATGAGATGAATGATGAGCGATGATATATGAGTGATAAAATATGGTGCGAAGCGATGACCTAAGCGATGAGCCAAAACGATGAGCCAAACGATGACCCAAGCGATGGCCCCGTCATCTAGCAGAGTATGGATGACAACCACGGACTATTCTAGACAGTCTAGTGGAACACTAGCAGGCTCGTAACCTGTAGGTGTTGTGAACGATGTGTTCACCTGGTGTACTCTAAAAACCCATTGACAGGTATTACGAGTGGACTCTCGAAAATGATACTGTCAATAAACGAGATAAACCCTGGCGACTATGCAGACTTAGTGCTGATTCCTTAGGATAATCCTTAGGAATGAATGAACGAGGAATAGCTGAATCTTAGGGTAGATCCTTAAGAGTAAAGAAGATAATGGGGATGGGTAATTGGGTTGATTGTTTGATGTTTAACATAATAATTATATTATTGTGGGTTGAAAACCCTATGTACTCACCAGGTTTCCCAACCTGACCCACTCAAGCTTATTTGTATCACAGGTGTCGATATGAAGTTACTTTACACTGAGGAATTTAAAAGAGATGTAGATCACTAGTGTAAATGAATGTAAGTTCTGTTTATGCTTATGTTTCTATATTGACGATGACATCCCAAATGTTTTAAAATGGAGAAAAATACATTTCTTCGGAAATGCTTTGATAACGTATTTATCATGTTTTTCTGGGAACAAATTCCGCAACATTTTTATTAAAAGAGGTACTCTGATTTTTATAAAGCATAAACAAAATCGGTCTTTTCTGGCCGTGAAAATGGGGATGTCCCATAGATTCAGCACGAAGAAAGCTTTAACAACCTACATGTTTACCTTCACAACCTTAGGCGAACTAACATGCAAACTTATACTCATATCAAAATTGATTTGATGGATCGTTTCGAAGTTTGTTTTGTGGTTATTGGATGGGTGGTATATTTGTTTTTTTTTTTTGCACTTTTCTGTTGTTTCTTTAAAATATATAATGTTTCTACATCTAAATTAATTCATTTTTGTTCCCAAAAAAATACATGTTCATACATTCATAGGCTGCTTCTTGTCTGTCATCTTCATAGGTAGTGTCCCTCTTAGAGGGAGTACCTAAAAACAATGTTTTGTAGCGGTTGCTATCGACGACAACAACCAGACCCTTCCTATAACATTTGGTATGGTCGTTGAAAATAATCTCTAATGTTGAACCTGGTTCCTTATGAGGTTAAGAGAAGCTCTGAGACAAGGTAGGGTAGTGTCGTTCATAACAAATATGGACGATGTGGTTAGTTCTCGCATAGAGCATGTATTCCCTGATTTTTATCATGGGTATACTTCTAAAAGTGTGTTCAAGTATGGGCGTGTTCGACATAAAGCGTTTGGGAGCGTCTGAGAGCTTTTAGTTTCTAGCGTTTGACAAAACGCTCCGTTTTAAACAAAAAACCTTGTTCGGCACTA